GTAGACCAAATTCTTGCCTATTTCACTGGTATTACTTCTATTTTCTTGATTGAGCACAAGAAACTGCCCAATCAACTATTTCAACTACCCAGTAAAGTGATCAGAAATTGGTAATTTGACTAATTTCACACCAAGTTCAAAATATTACAATTTCAAAATAAGGTCCAGAATAAACAGGCATTCCTGGCACTAAAATAACATTACCTCTGTTTATTAGTTATGTTTCCAGGCTTTACACATGAATTCCATTTTGACTTTATTTACATAAAAATTTTTATTCACACCAAAAAAAATAGAGGATTTACTGTTATTCAGTACTGTAATAATATCAGTGCATTTGTGATCGTATATTAGGCCCACCAGTTGACTTGTATTGGATGTGTGATGTCATTTGTTTACTCTTGAACATCGGCAAAAATCGAATGTTTACACTACTTTGAGCTCAATTTCAAGCTATTTTCAGTACTAAAAACAATCAAAATCATCTTTATTTCTATAATATGTCATCCATTTTATCAAATGAGACCAAGAAACCGCGAATACAAAAGTAAAAACATTACGAAAATACACTGCAAAGTCGGTGTTTGAATCCAAACACATGGTCACAGTTTTTTTCATTATGCACTGCATGTTGCAGGATTTGTTTTATGTGGTGGACATTTACCACATAGATCCATTCTCTCATATCTAGGCCCAAATTTACCACTCACAGCTTATCTGAGTGAGCTGAGCTTATTGTGTACAACTATGGCTTGGACCCTGTGGACAAGGAGTAGATCTACGGCTTGGACCCTCAAAGGGTTAATATAACAATGACCCAGGTTAATATAACATTGGGTAACTTTAAAAGAATTAATGTATTACAGCTATTTATTTATTTAATTTGATTTCTGCATTTTAAAAATAAATACATGTCTAATTCAGCATATGCATTCCAAAGTATATTATGGACGAGTCCCTGATCAATATAATATATTACAAGATTTTTTTTTTCAGTTGTCTGTCTCCCACCGAGGCAGGGTGACCCAAAAAGAAAGAAAATCCCCCCAAAATAAAATACTTTCATCATCATTCAATACTTTCATCTCACTCATGCATAATCACTGTTTTTGCAGAGGTGTTCAGAACACAACAGTTGAGAAGCATATATTTATAAAGATACACAACATATCCCTCCAAACTGCTAGTATCCCGGACCCCTCCTTTAGAGTGCAGGCATTGTACTTCCCATTTCCAGGACTCAAGTCCGGCTATATAAAAATAACTGGTTTCCCTAATTTTTTTTTTTTTTTTTTTTTTCAACAAGTCGGTCGTCTCCCACCGAGGCAGGGTGACCCAAAAAAGAAAGAAAATCCCCAAAAAGAAAATACTTTCATCATCATTCAACACTTTCACCACACTCACACATTATCACTGCTTTTGCAGAGGTGCTCAGAATACAACAGTTTAGAAGCATATACGTATAAAGATACACAACATATCCCTCCAAACTGCCAATATCCCAAACCACTCCTTTAAAGTGCAGGCATTGTACTTCCCATTTCCAGGACTCAAGTCCGACTATATGAAAATAACTGGTTTCCCTGAATCCCTTCACTAAATATTACCCTGCTCACACTCCAACAGATCGTCAGGTCCCAAGTATCATTCGTCTCCATTCACTCCTATCTAACACGCTCATGCACGCTTGCTGGAAGTCCAAGCCCCTCGCCCACAAAACCTCCTTTACCCCTCTTTCCAACCTTTCGAGGACGACCCCTACCCCTCTTTCCTTCCCCATATAGTTTATATGCTTTCCATGTCATTCTACTTTGATCCATTCTCTCTAAATGACCAAACCACCTCAACAACCCCTCTTTCTGCCCTCTGACTAATGCTTTTATTAACTCCACACCTTCTCCTAATTTCCACACTCCGAATTTTCTGCATAATATTTACACCACACATTGCCCTTAGACAGGACATCTCCACTACCTCCAACCGTTTCCTCGCTGCTGCATTTACCACCCAAGCGTCACATCCATATAAGAGTGTTGGTACTACTATACTTTCATACATTCCCTTCTTTGCCTCCATAGATAACGTTTTTTGACTCCACATATACCTCAACGCACCACTCACCTTTTTTCCCTCATCAATTCTATGATTAACCTCATCCTTCATAAATCCATCCGCCGACACGTCAACTCCCAAGTATCTGAAAACATTCACTTCTTCATACTCCTCCTCCCCAATTTGATATCCAATTTTTCTTTATCTAAATCATTTGATACCCTCATCACCTTACTCTTTTCTATGTTCACTTTCAACTTTCTACCTTTACACACATTCTCAAACTCATCCACTAACCTTTGCAATTTTTCTTTAGAATCTCCCATAAGCACAGTATCATCAGCAAAAAGTAACTGTGTCAATTCCCATTTTGAATTTGATTCCCCATAATTTAATCCCACCCCTCTCCCGAACACCCTAGCATTTACTTCCTTACAACCCCATCTATAAATATATTAAACAACCATGGTGACATTACACATCCCTGTCTAAGACCTACTTTTACCGGGAAGTATTCTCCCTCACTTCTACACACCCTAACCTGAGCCTCACTATCCTCATAAAAGCTCTTTACAGCATTTAGTAACTTACCACCTATTCCATAAACTTGCAACATCTGCCACATTGCTCCTCTATCCACTCTATCATATGCCTTTTCTAAATCCATAAATGCAATAAAAACTTCCCTACCTTTATCTAAATACTGTTCACAAATATGCTTCAATGTAAACACTTGATCTACACATCCCCTACCCACTCTGAAGCCTCCTTGCTCATCCGCAATTCTACATTCTGTCTTACCTCTAATTCTTTCAATTATAACCCTACCGTATACTTTTCCTGGTATACTTAGTAAACTTATTCCTCTATAATTTTTACAATCTCTTTTGTCCCCTTTCCCTTTATATAAAGGGACTATACATGCTCTCCGCCAATCCCTAGGTACCTTCCCCTCTTTCATACATTTATTAAACAAAAGTACCAACCACTCCAACACTATATCCCCCCCTGCTTTTAACATTTCTGTCATGATCCCATCAGTTCCAGCTGCTTTACCCCCTTTCATTCTACGTAATGCCTCACATACCTCCACCACACTTACATTCTGCTCTTCACTCCTAAAAGATGGTATACCTCCCTGGCCAGTGCATGAAATACCGCCTCTCTTTCTTCCTCAACATTTAAAAGTTCCTCAAAATATTCTCGCCATCAACCTAATACCTCCCTCTCCCCATCTACTAACTCCCCTACTCTATTTTTAACTGACAAATCCATACGTTCCCTAGGCTTTCTTAACTCGCTCCAAAATTTTTTCTTATTTTCATTAAAATTTCTTGACAGTGCCTCTCCCACTCTATCATCTACTCTCCTTTTGCACTCTCTCACCACTCTCTTCACCTTTCTTTTACTCTCCATATACTCTGCTCTTCTTTTAACACTTCTGCTTTGTAAAAATCTCTCATAAGCTAACTTTTTCTCTTTTATCACACCCTTTACTTCATCATTCCACCAATCACTCCTCTTTCCTCCTGCCCCCACCCTCCTATAACCACAAACTTCTGCCTCACATTCTAATACTGCATTTTTAAAACTCGTCCAACCCTCTTCAACCCCCCCCCCCCCCACTACCCATCTTTATATTAGCCCACCTTTCCGCCAATAGTCGCTTATATCTCACCCGAACTTCCTCCTCCCTTAGTTTATACACTTTCACTTCCCTCCTACTTGTTGTTGCCACCTTCCTCTTGTACCATCTACCTCTTACTCTAACTGTAGCTACAACTAAATAATGATCCGATATGTCAGTTGCCCCTCTATAAACATGTACATCCTGGAGCCTACCCATTAGCCTTTTATCCACCAATACATAATCTAACAAACTACTTTCATTACATGCTACATCATACCTTGTATATTTATTTATCCTCCTTTTCATAAAATATGTATTACTTATTACCAAATCAATTTCTACACATAGCTCAATTAAAGGCTCCCCATTTACATTTACCCCTGGCACCCCAAATTTTCCTACTACTCCCTCCACAACATTTTTACCCACTTTAGCATTGAAATCCCCAACCACAAGTACTCTCGCACTTTGTTCAAAACTCCCCACGCATTCACTCAACATTTCCCAAAATCTCTCTCTCTCTCCTCTACACTTCTATCTTCTTCAGGTGCATATACGCTTACTATAACCCACTTCTCACATCCAACCTTTATTTTACTCCACATAATCCTTGAATTAATACATTTATAGTCCCTATTTTCCTGCCATATCTTATCCTTCAACATTATTGCTACTCCTTCTTTAGTTCTAACTCTATTTGAAGCCCCTGACTTAATCCCATTTATTCCTCTCCACTGAAACTCTCCCATCCCTTTCAGCTTTGTTTCACTTTAAGCCAGGACATCCAGCTTCTCATTCATAACATCGACATTCATCTCTTTCTTATCATTTGCACAACATCCACACACATTCAGACTTCCCACTTTGACAATTTTCTTCTTCTTATTCTTTTTAGTAATCTTTACAGGAAAAGGGGTTACTATCCCATTGTTCCCGGCATTTTAGTTGACTTTTACAACACGCATGGCTTACGGAGGAAAGATTCTTATTCCACTTCCCCATGGATATAAAAGGAAAAGTAATAAGACCAAGAACTATTAAGATAAAATGAAAGAAAACTCATATGAGTGTGTATAAATAAACGTGTACATGTATGTGTAGTGTGACCTAAGTGCAAGTAGAAGTAGCAAGACATACCTGTAATCTTGCATATTTATAAGACAGACAAAAGGCACCAGCAATCCTACCATCATGTAAAACAATTACAGGCTTTTGTTTTACACTCACTTGGCAGGACGGTAGTACCTCCCTGGGTGGTTGCTGTCTGCCAACCTACTACCTACATAATTATTATTATTTCTTATTATATGATTTGTAGGTTGACGTGTTAATGCCAAACGTTGGAGAGATTTTAGGAGGCTCTATGAGGATGCACAATTATGAAGAGTTGCTGCAAGCTTACACTGATAATGAACTTGACCCTAAACCTTACTACTGGTATACTGATCAGGTAGGTGAACTAATGTGTCGTTATATACAAACATTACACAAATTACCCTGCACATAGGAGAAAGATACTTACGAGAACATTTTGGTCCCACGTGGACCGAAATGTCATAAGTTTGTCTCCTATGTGTGGGTTACTTGTGTATTGTTCCAGTCACGGTATTGTGCCTTTGTATTTTATACAAAATATTCTTTGTGAATTCGTCTTATCATACATGTACGGCCTCTCCTCACTTAGCAACGTACTTGTTTACGGACGCCTCAGATTTACAATGGGCTCTGACTAGTATTCATACCTAGATACTGTATATTAGAGCTGATTTCCTCTATTCTATTTATTTCAATATACAGCACACTACTGTATAAACACTTAAAAATATACCAGACATGTTATAAATGGTGTAAACGTGACATTAAAACAATATCAAAGATGGTTGACACAAACTCTTTACACGTACCATTATAGTATGCTCCTCACTTTGTGATGAATTCGTTTAACGACGTTGTCTCAGGAATGGAACTCCATCATTAAGTGAGGAGAGGCTGTATAATTGTTAGTTTCTGTATAACCCTTAAGGAATTAGCACTTTGTGAATATGTAATACAGCCTCTCCTTACTTAATGATGGAGTTCTGTTTCCTGAGACCACATCGTTAAATGAATTCGTTGCTAAGTGAGGAGCATACTATAATGGTAGTGAGCTTGTCACCTTTGCACCATTTATAACATGTCTGGTATGTTTCTAAATGTTTATACAGTAGTATACTGTATATTGAAATAAACAGAATAGAGGAAATCAGCTCTAATATACATTATTTAAGTATGAATACTGGTCAGAGAGCCCGTTGTAAGTCCGAGGCGTCGGTAAACGAGTACGTTGCTAAGTGAGGAGAGGCTGTTATGTATAAGGGCCATAGCAATTGTGTACAACATAAAATGTTTACAAGTCTTTGTAAAGAACACAAGTCAGCTTAACAATTTATTAGTTTTTAACTGCTCAGCTACTAAAAACCAATATGCAAGGGAATCAACTTTACTAAGAAAGGGTAATTAAATGTACCATTTGAACTTACTTTAATTTGGTATAATGTAATAAAAATTTGAACGTTTAATTAATTTCATTATAGGCATGGTTAGATATCTAGTATCCTAGCAAACTAGTGGAACTACTGCTGATGTATAATTTACAAATCTTCCCTAGAAAACGTTTTTTCGCAACAGATCTGGACACTGCTAGCTGACTACCCAGTGATGGGTCTTCATGAACCTACACACTTTTCTGTTATTCTGATGCATCCCTTCTGATGTTAGATGCCTTCTGTTCAGACACTTTTTAACTTTTAGATTACCACTTTACTCCATGCACAGTAATGACCTTTGAACTACTAACCCATCTGTTCAATTTAAATATTTTTAAATAATTACTAATAATTATACATTTTGAATGCAACTGTAAGGGATTTTTTTTTTTTTAACAAGTCGGCCATCTCCCACTTAGGCAGGGTGACCCAAAAAAGAAAGAAAATCCCCAAAAAGAAAATACTTTCATCATCATTCAACACTTTCACCTCACTCACATATAATCACTGTTTTTGCAGAGGTGCTTAGAATACAACAGCTTAGAAGTATATACGTATAAAGATACACAACATATCCCTCCAAACTGCTAATATCCTGAACCCCTCCTTTAGAGTGCAGGCATTGTACTTCCCATTTCCAGGACTCAAGTCCGGCTATATAAAAATAACCGGTTTCCCTGAATCCCTTCACTAAATGTTACCCTGCTCACACTCCAACAGAACTGTTAGAGATGTTTATGTAAATACTGATGTCATGTTTCTTTGAGAAATATTCACTCTTCTCTTATATTTTGTTGTTACTCCATCCAACGTTTAAAGTAATTAAAAGTATTGATATTCACATTAGATAATCTTTATGCCATGTTTTGTTCTTCAAAAATATTTAGTATTTTTCTCAAATTGCTTCTGTAACCTTTATGAAGTAGGTTGTTAGACAGCAGCAACTATACTGGGAGTTACTACCACACTGTTATAACAGAGGGAATTGAAAACATGTTAACTGTTTTTCACTTTCACAGAATTGGTGGCCTTTTCCTGTAGACTCCTAAATATGAAAAATGATAGCTAAATCTCTAAACTTCAAATTATATTTGAGATGCACTTTATCCTAGTTCTTTAGAAATCTAATATTCCCTTTCTAGATTAGAAAGTCTAGTCTGAGACTGGGCCAGTGGGGCAAGAATCCCCTAGAGCCATAAGCAGATGCTGCATGTACCCAGGCTGGGCCTTAAGAGTAGGAAAAAACTTGAGCTGGTAACAGGTATTCACCTTATTTACAAATATTAATGTTTTTTCAACAGCGTCTGTATGGTACGTGCCCTCACGGTGGGTATGGCTTAGGATTGGAGCGTTTCTTGTGCTGGATTGCCAACCGTTACCACATACGTGAAGCAACTTTATATCCAAGATTTGTAGGACGTTGTACACCATAGACAAAATGAAAAAGTCTGATGCCCTAGAACATAAATATTGTATAATTTGTATTGCTATTCAAATTTTTTATATTTTGATTTTTCATGCAAATTATAAACATTTGTGTTTTGATTAGTAGGTCAGTACTTAAGAACTTAAGAATTTTTATTGAGTGATTTGAACATGAACGTTTAAAATGGTAATGCTGTATCTTCATTGTGGAGTTGTAAATTTTTTACAAAGGATTCCATACAAATAATTTTAATTATTTATGTTAAATTATTCTTGCCTGTTTACTGTATATAATATTTTGATTGTATTTAGTTTACTGCCATTCTTTGTGTCATCCTGGAAACTACTTTTGTATTTTTTGTAGAAAATTTGTATTCTAGAAATTAAATAAGATGTTTGAATTCTAGGTCAATGTTGTTTTCAAGATGAGAAATGTCAAATTGCCATTTGATTGTGTTACTATTCCTTCAATTAGACATGCAGTCGGCGTAGTGTCACCTTGCATTTACAGTATCACTAGCCAGTTAAACTTTATAAAAAATAAGGCTTCAGAGAACATTAATACATAATGACGGGATTGGTCTCATACTTTTTTAAAACGTTTAAAAATTGTATCTTTTAATTTATATAAAACAACCACTACCTAAGATGTATTAATTACTACCATCCTTTAAAAACAATTTATTTTTAAATATTTTTTTATATTTTTGTTACAAATGAGACTCGGTGAACCAGATAATTGGAGTTGTCCTCCACTACCTTGGATCAAATCTCATTCTCAAGGTGCTGTAGAGCCCATAAAGGTTTAGCCCTTGCCATTTATTACTATTATGTTTGGGTAAGCATATAACCCATATGGAACATACCTGGGAAATGGGAGGCAAGTAGTGTTGATCCTAGGCAGGGGAGGATGTCTTCCCCTTGATTACCCCTCAAGGGAGGTTCCTTGATGCTGGCAAGGGGCTCTTGATCTAGGGAATTGGATCTGTGCTCCGGTTCCCTGAAGTGAGCCTGAATACCTTCCATACCTTCTCCAGTTTATTATAACTGCAGAAGCTGTCAATCAAGCCTTGATGCCAGTGGGGGGAGGGGAGTCTTGATCCAAGCATGTGGGCATCACCCCTTCCTTGAATTGAACCTGATTACCTCTTATACCCCCAGGCACTGTGTGATCCCTACAGGTTGAACACTTTTTTTCCCCCCGTGAATGTAATAATGATCCTCTGTGAATATAATCTTCCATGTTGTTGGATCAAAAATGATCACCTCCCATTCCTTAAGTGCTGTATGACTTATGGGTTTAGCACTCGCCCTTGATTATCATCATCATAATATAGGAGCTACACATACATACTGCTGGAGAATGAGAAAGGTAATATTTTGTGAAGACATTCTGGGAAACCGGTTAGTCAGACTTGAGTCCTGGAGGTGGGAAGTACAATGCCTGCAGCCTAAAGGAGGGGTTTGGGATATTTGCTGTTGACTGACATCTACACTGTCATATCTGCTTGCCTTTGGCAAGACACTGATAGTGTGAATGATGGTGAAAGTGTTTCTTTTTCGGGTCATTCTGCCTAGGTGGGAGGCAGCCGGCGTGTTAAAAAAAAAAAAAGAAGATGCCAACACTAACTACAGCAACTACATAATTAGTATCATGGGGAGCACTATACCCATAGGGATTAAGACATGTGCGCCATCTGAGTATCTTTAGATACCTCCTCTACACTCCCTCCCTCCACTGTTTCTTAGGATGACTGTCAACAGTATTACTTGTGTAGTATATACAGTGGAACCTCAGTACTCGAACACCTCCGTACTCAATTCGGTATTCGAATGCTTTGTTCGGTAAACAAATCACTCGGTAGTTGACTGCTCAGCAGTCGACCAAACAAACATGACCTGCCAGAACTTTGCTGTAAACTATTTAGTGTTTCTTTGCATTTTTTGGTGTTTTTTATAGTGAACAAATAAGTTACCATGGGGCCTAAGAGGGTTAGTGATAACAGCCAACCAAAAAGAAAATTGGTGGGGAAAAGTTAATTCTGTACTCAAACAGACTGGCACTTGAACAGCCTTCTGGAACCAATTAAGTTGGAATAGCGAGGTTCCACTGTATTTCCTAGCAACGTTTATAGGCAGGCTCCCTGGCCAAGCCTTAAATCGTATGACCCCCTGTTTAGACCAGGCACTTAGTCCATAGTCCCCACACTTCGTTGCGCAGGCTTACTAGATGGGTAGACAGACAGGCTGGGCTCTGCCATAATTACCAATACAATACCTCCATAATAGTCTATAGTTGTTTCCTTTCCTACCATTGCCTCTGTAATCAAATCCTATAACATGACCCCTACCCTACAGATCTATACACCTTCCAAGTCATCCTATTTTGCTCCATTCTCTATAAATGTCCAAACCACCTCAACCACCCCTCCTCGGCCCTCTCGATAATACTTTTAGTAACTCTGCACTTCCTCCTATTCTCCAACCCATAAATTCTCTGCATAATATTTACATTGACCTCAGATATGACATCTCCACTGCCTCCAGCCTCCTTGCTTCACTATTCACACCCATATAAAAGTGTTGGTACCACTATACTCTCATACATTTCCCTCTTTGCCTCCATGGATAATGTTCTTTGTCTCCACAGACTCTTCACTGCACCACTCGCCTTTTTCCCTTTATCAGTTTTGTTGTTCACCTTGTCTCTCATATACCCATCCACCAACAAGTCAACTTCCAAATATCTGAACACATTCACTTCCTCTATACTCCCTCCAATCTGATATCCAATTTTTTCATTACCTAACTCATTTGATATCCTTATCACCTTACTCTCACCTATGTTCACTTTCAACTTCCTTTACACACCCTCCCAAACTCATCCACTAATCTTTGCAACTTCTGTTCAAAATCTCCTCTTTCAACTAGATTGCCACCCCTAAGCCTCTCCTATATAAACCTTCTGGGGCTACTCCTGGCTTCCATGTAAGTGGCAATGAAAGGTATAGTATATGAATCTCTAAGGCATGGCAAATGCATAGGGCAGCATTTAGTTATTAATATATTAACAGGAAAATCCTCGACCTCAGTGCGTTGACCCAAGACAAACTGGGCAGGAATCAGCTCCACTATATTACTGTATATCAATTTATACATTTACTAAAAAAGAGAAGAAGAAAAACTTTATAAAACTGGGATGCTTAAATGTGCATGGATGTAGTGCAGATGACAAGAAACAGATGATTGCTGATGTTATGAATGAAAAGAAGTTGGATGTCCTGGCTCTAAGCGAAACAAAGCTGAAGGGGGTAGGAGAGTTTCAGTGGGGGGAAATAAATGGGATTAAATCTGGAGTATCTGAGAGAGTTAGAGCAAAGGAAGGGGTAGCAGTAATGTTAAATGATCAGTTATGGAAGGAGAAAAGAGAATATGAATGTGTAAATTCAAGAATTATGTGGATTAAAGTAAAGGTTGGATGCGAGAAGTGGGTCATAATAAGCGTGTATGCACCTGGAGAAGAGAGGAATGCAGAGGAGAGAGAGAGATTTTGGGAGATGTTAAGTGAATGTATAGGAGCCTTTGAACCAAGTGAGAGAGTAATTGTGGTAGGGGACCTGAATGCTAAAGTAGGAGAAACTTTTAGAGAGGGTGTGGTAGGTAAGTTTGGGGTGCCAGGTGTAAATGATAATGGGAGCCCTTTGATTGAACTTTGTATAGAAAAGGGGTTTAGTTATAGGTAATACATATTTTAAGAAAAAGAGGATAAATAAGTATACAAGATATGATGTAGGGCGAAATGACAGTAGTTTGTTGGATTATGTATTGGTAGATAAAAGACTGTTGAGTAGACTTCAGGATGTACATGTTTATAGAGGGGCCACAGATATATCAGATCACTTTCTAGTTGTAGCTACACTGAGAGTAAAAGGTAGATGGGATACAAGGAGAATAGAAGCATCATGTAAGAGAGAGGTGAAGGTTTATAAACTAAAAGAGGAGGCAGTTAGGGTAAGATATAAACAGCTAGTGGAGGATAGATGGGCTAATGAGAGCATAGGCAATGGGGTCGAAGAGGTATGGGGTAGGATTAAAAATGTAGTGTTAGAGTGTTCAGCAGAAGTTTGTGGTTACAGGAAAGTGGGTGCAGGAGGGAAGAGGAGCGATTGGTGGAATGATGATGTAAAGAGAGTAGTAAGGGAGAAAAAGTTAGCATATGAGAAGTTTTTACAAAGTAGAAGTGATGCAAGGAGGGAAGAGTATATGGAAAAAGAGAGAGGTTAAGATGAGCGGTGAAGCAATGTAAAAAGAGAGCAAATGAGAGAGTGGGTGAGATGTTATCAACAAATTTTGTTGAAAATAGAAAAAGTTTTGGAGTGAGATTAACAAGTTAAGAAAGCCTAGAGAACAAATGGATTTGTCATGTTAAAAATAGGAGAGGAAGAGTTATTAAATGGAGAGTTAGAGGTATTGGGAAGATGGAGGGAATATTTTGAGGAATTGTTAAATGTTGATGAGATAGGGAAGCTGTGATTTCGAGTATAGGGCAAGGAGGAATAACATCTACTAGGAGTGAGGAAGAGCCAGTTGTGAGTGTGGGGGAAGTTCGTGAGGCAGTAGGTAAAATGAAAGGGGTAAGGCAGCCGGGATTGATGGGATAAAGATAGAAATGTTAAAAGCAGGTGGGGATATAGTTTTGGAGTGGTTGGTGCAATTATTTAATAAATGTATGGAAGAGGGTAAGGTACCTAGGGATTGGCAGAGAGCATGCATAGTTCCTTTGTATAAAGGCAAAGGGGATAAAAGAGAGTGCAAAAATTATAGGGGATAAGTCTGTTGAGTGTACCTGGTAAAGTGTATGGTAGAGTTATAATTGAAAGAATTAAGAGTAAGACGGAGAATAGAATAGCAGATGAACAAGGAGGCTTTAGAAAAGGTAGGGGGTGTGTGGACCAGGTGTTTACAGTGAAACATATAAGTGAACAGTATTTAGATAAGGCTAAAGAGGTCTTTGTGGGCATTTATGGATTTGGAAAAGGCGTATGACAGGGTGGATAGGGGGGCAATGTGGCAGATGTTGCAAGTGTATGGTGTAGGAGGTAGGTTACTGAAAGCAGTGAAGAGTTTTTACGAGGATAGTGAGGCTCAAGTTAGAGTATGTAGGAAAGAGGGAAATTTTTTCCCAGTAAAAGTAGGCCTTAGACAAGGATGTGTGATGTCACCGTGGTTGTTTAATATATTTATAGATGGGGTTGTAAGAGAAGTAAATGCGAGGGTCTTGGCAAGAGGCGTGGAGTTAAAAGATAAAGAATCACACACAAAGTGGGAGTTGTCACAGCTGCTCTTTGCTGATGACACTGTGCTCTTGGGAGATTCTGAAGAGAAGTTGCAGAGATTGGTGGATGAATTTGGTAGGGTGTGCAAAAGAAGAAAATTAAAGGTGAATACAGGAAAGAGTAAGGTTATGAGGATAACAAAAAGATTAGGTGATGAAAGATTGAATATCAGATTGGAGGGAGAGAGTATGGAGGAGGTGAAAAGTATTCAGATATTTGGGAGTGGACGTGTCAGCGGATGGGTCTATGAAAGATGAGGTGAATCATAGAATTGATGAGGGAAAAAGAGTGAGTGGTGCACTTAGGAGTCT